GTGTTGTTAAATCTACAAGTTTTTGATTTTGGGGAACAAAAACTCGTGTCCGTCGAAGACTATAACGTCAAACATGACATGTAAGAACTAAAAAATCAAGGCGTAATATGTATTCATGCATGCACTGACGTCTGASACAAAGAGCATGGGGAACCTACCATGCATTTGTGTTAAAATTCCGGCGCCCTGTACCGAATACCCGGAGAAAAACTTGCCGCTAAAATGCAGTTAAAGTTGCTCCTATTGAATAGCTAAAACTGTTGAAGTACGCCTCAGATTCCCCCTAACACCCGTATTCGCGCTGTTAAATGTGCGTAAATCCACAGTCTCGCCGCTTTAATTCCTGCCCTGTCCCCGGGCGTCTGGGGACGGGGATTTTCACTAATGCTCTATATAATGGATTTTCGTCGTATGCCATCTCTTTATTGGATCGTTTGTATTATCTTGTTGTGATGCACACAGTGTGCCGAGAAAATAAAAGTGATTAGGGTGACAAACCTTCAAGTTTATTAATACACCCCTAACTTTAATAGGCTTCAGGACGAGTAATTCAGTCATCTGACTGAAATGTAACTRTTTTACCATTGTCATACCATTGTCATACCTGTCATACCATTGAAAATACCCTTARGCCGAAGTGTTTGATGGGAGGGAGGCAGATGGYGTGCTGCTAAATAGAGCTAGTTCAAAAACGTTGAATACTGAATACTAGCACTGTATGTGTTCCAAGACCAAATGCATTATGGGTCACAGTAACATTGTCTAAAGTATGACCAATAATAATTGTTCATTTATTTTTAGTTTGTGCATCCAATATGAAATATGAAACATAGCTGCATACGAATAGCAAATACCTGTATATTTACTTTTTATTTCAAATTAACGAGAWCCCAAATACCATTTGCACTTGCAATGCGCTATACACCCTTCTCATAATGGCTGATGAACGCACGTAAACSAGGTCACCCAGTCATCTTGCAAAGTTGAGCAAAGCTGATCATTCAAAATAAAGGCTGTTAGCGCTAATTAAGATCAAAACAAATGTCATTTTTTATACTTTTCTTCTTTAAAGTCATTTCATGTAATTTTATATCTTTTATCGTGAAAAAATGACTGGGTGACCTCGTTTTCGTGCACTTGTCARCCATTATGAGAAGGGTGTATTCAGTATGTATACAGTATTCAATATTTAACCTTTTTTGTTGCAGCTTTCCTTAGATTGACTGTACAATCATGCTAGCTTATGTTCGCAATTTCACGAAAGAAAATAGCTCACTGCAGTTTTCTACTGTCTTTGTATCGTTAAGGGAGAGAATGAGGAGGTGAAGCTTTCCACACCTACTTTATT